CTAGCAGAACTTTTCTGATTGTGATAAGAGGTGTGAAAGAACGTTACCGTCCAAAGTATGAAAGCATGATGAATTGACGAAGTACAGTACAGTAACGTGGCTTGACTTACATATCAATTTGCGTTTTTTCGTTGCTTCCGACCCTCCATCATAAAATTCTGTCATATCATTGATAGAAAATGGTGGATTGGATCTTTCCTGGCGTAAATCTAAGACAGTTGTAGTATTTTTAGCCATTTTGGGGGGCTGTTTGATTTGGCGTCGATTGAAAAGGTGCAATCTCGATACGTTGTGTGCAACTTGTTTACGGTTTGATTTAGCTTGAATCGGGTATATTTGCAAGACGACGAGACAACAGTTAACATTTACTCATTGTCCTGATCTCCACACCGATAAAAGAAAGTAGAAAAATTGTAAAGATCAGGCTAAGGAACAAATGTTTCTTGTTGTCTTGATGCATAACCTGAGGCCCCACCCGGAAATCCGGGAATCTCAATTCACAATGTTCAATATTATCCCAAAGCAATTTTCTTAGCCTAATTATATCCTTGATTGTTTACGGGCGAATCAGGCCAATGAATGAAAAAACAAATCGTATTACTAAGGTGACCTTGTTGCCTTGTTGCTTAACCTCCTCCGACTTCACCTTTCATTTGGACCAACATGTATTCTTACAGTACATAGACACCTATATTGATCCGTATCCTGTTTTTAGTAGTCAATCCAATCTGTTGATGATGAGGTTATCAAGAGAAAGTTCTGGCCCAGAATAATTAATTTTTGTTAACGATCAGAGGTCAATTATTGACCATTTAATACTGGATGACGGCAATTGCCGACAGCAGTAGAATCTTTCGTATGGCGACATCATATCCCTGATGGACATTTCGTGCATACTAGTATAGTCGTTATACCCTGGGGAATGTCCCAGATACAACTACGCATTTGTAGAACTTTGCATGGTTGAGATATTGTCATTCAAAGTTGCCGATGGGTCAATCCCATACCAAAAGCTTTTCAATGAAGTCAGAATTCATCAGCACCTAATACAATGCACCAAATTTGCTATGTACGTATTCAGCTCGGCGAAAGCTACCGAGTGGTACCGATTTCATGGAAGAACGCCATTTCTTCAAGAAAGAAGGAGAAATGGCCATTTTGTAGAACTTTGCATGGTTGAGATATTGTCATTCAAAGTTGCTGATGGGTCAATCCCATACCAAAAGCTTTTCAATGAAGTCAGAATTCATCAGCACCTAATACAATGCACCAAATTTGCTATGTACGTATTCAGCTCGGCGAAAGCTACCGAGTGGTACCGATTTCATGGAAGAACGCCATTTCTTCAAGAAAGAAGGAGAAATGGCCATTTTGTAGAACTTTGCATGGTTGAGATATTGTCATTCAAAGTTGCTGATGGGCAGTACAGTATACATGTCATACATTGTATTGTGTGTCCCTTGAGAGTTGTTATTGAATAATAGTGACGCCATACTGGACAGTAATAAGAATGACGTCATTACCCCCCCACTAAAGTACAGTACAGTATGTGAAATTGATTGATAATAATAATTAATTATAATGAATGAATTCATTAATTAATTAGTCCAGTACATGTACACTACTGGACGAAGATTTGTCTATTGGACGTCTGTCCGTAATTACACTACTGTACTGTGCACTACTACAGTAGAGAATGGGCGGGATTTGTGCGTCCAGTACTGTAAGCAATTTTCATTTACCACTGCAGCAATTTTAGACTATTGACAGATTTTACGTGAAAATGAGAACAAATTTATAGAAATAAAAGCTAAATTCACATCCCTCAGTTATTGGGCTACGTCTACATATAACATTTGATCTACTTTGGGCTTGATTGAGCCTACATAGTTTATTTTCCTTCGTGATACCCAAGTTAATCTCGCCCTTACAGTGTAACTGCACTACACTTCTACAGTACTGTACTGTAGCACATAGCACGCTCGAAAATCCCAAAGTCAAACCAGTTGAAAGACGTCGAGTAAATCGCAATAATAAATCGCCATCATCAACCAAATTCTAACTTGATGGTTAGCCTAATTGCAGTCAAGAATGGGTCGAACATTTCTTGTCCTTCGCTGCTTTAGCTGTCATACATTTCAAGTTCAACAAGTAAGGTGCTTTTTCAAATCAGTGTCTAGCAGTCTAGCCATCTCAAGCTCAGGTACTGTACTCGTATAGACAGAGTACAGTACAAGACTGCAAGAAAGTCAATAGGAGAGCGTATTTCATTCAGCTAAAAATATCTAAATCTATGTCTAATCATGCACGCCTTATAACCAAGATCATGCTATACTACAACTTTAATGGATATGAAATCCTTCTATTTCTATAGGAAGTAAAAGCTAAAAAATGGAGCTGTAAGGTTTGCGGATGGAAGCAATCATTTGTAAAGGTAACCAATTTAACTGAAGTACTTCAATCCAAATTGTCACTGTTATCGTCATAAACGTACTGTAGTCAGACTCGTTAATGCAAATGGGGTGTTGAAAATAGTTCTTCATGACTTTATAAGGTAATACCAGTTCTAGATAATGTTGTCAAAGATATCAATCGAAAAGGACACTTGTTAGCAACATCCAACACAGTTATACTGTACATTACCAGACGAGATTGCCAAATAAATGTTGAATATTTAAAAATATCCTGTAGCATTTCACGACCCTCTATCTTAACTACTGATGAGTCATAAGCCATAATATTTTTATACATACTGTCAAGTTGACAGTGTCTACCTCCAAAATCGATTTCCTTGCGTAATTAAGGATAGCACAGTATATCAATTGACGTAGGCTCGCGTTTTTCCTATCTCAATATCCAATAGTAAAATACGGTGCTCGATGCTTTGCGGAAGTAAGCAACACCTTACAATTACAATTAAATACTACATATTCTTGATATCCATTATGAAATTTTTTAATTTTAGCTATATTATGATGAAAAGGGAAATACCGTAATTACTAGAAAGACCATAATAAAAATACTTAATTACTTCAAAATTAAATGGCATTGCATTCAGTATTATAAACACCAACATGATTATACATGCATATAACTATAGTTGTGTTTTTACTTTGCTCTTTATTGCAGATTTATGGTAATGGTAGCGCTGCTGACTGCAGAAATCACGTCCAAAAATTAAATATGATGAGGGGTGAAAGAGAAGCTGCTATACTCTCGTCAGTTTTTTTTATTTATTTACTATTTTAAATACATAATTAGAGCCTTAGCTCATTAGAGCTCATGTTGGTGTCACACATTAATTAGAAAACTGTCGGAACAGCATACTGAAAATGATTGTCGCAGTATACAGGAATCTCCGGAAGAGTATTCTGAATGCGATTATCGTACTATACAGGAATTTCAGTCAGCTTCCAATGCTGATGATGTACGTAGACTGAATTTTGTAAACTCATGTATAACGAGATTGAACCATTTAATACTACACTAGCTATTATTAATCGTACTAAATACACCTTTAGATACCACTACCACGAACTCATTGTATTTCATGGGATCAATTTATCAGTCACGATCAAGACGTAAGATTTATACAATCGCATCGATCGAAATAGCAATG